GCACGCACGCAGCACGCACGCACGCACGCAGCACGCACGCACGCACGCACGCACGCACGCACGCACGCACACTGATAGGTTCTGAATAAATCACTTACTTTAAAGACAAAGATAAGAAAGACATAGAGACATCGTCCAAATTATGACCAATATCCGCATCTATTAATTTATAATGATTTTGTATATATTTGTCATTATTTTGGTTTGCATATGATGATATTTGATGTATATCATTGAATTCTGTATTACTGTAAGATGTATGAAACAGGTGTGGGCAATTTGTTTGTGATAAATTACTGCATCTTGATAAATTAATGCTGTTAGAAGACGTATATTTTTCTAATGGTGGTAAAATATCTAGAGGTGTTATATTTATCTAAAATAAAAATAATTGTATATAAATATGTGTGTGCATTTGAAATATATGTTTATCATTCATTTGTATCGAGCATCTAATTAGAAATTATAATGAAAATTTTTACTTTAATTTGTCCATTGCATTTTCCAGTAAAATCAATGATATGAAACCATCCAGAGATTGTGGAAAATCCAGTCATCAAAATTGATAGATCGACAGCAGAGAAACCAATCACAATATCTCTTTTGAAATTTATATCATTAAATGCATCTGGATCAATCAAATGCCACACTTTGAAAATTAATCTTTTTTGATTCTGAAAAACATCATAAAATAAAATAAAATAATATTGATTGTATAAGTCATGAATCAAATTATAAATTTAATCATGATGAAGCTAATTTAAAATAAAATTGTTAGGATTGAAACTACATACGTTTAAAAGTAAATCTGTTGATAGCTTTGCATTACATCTCCAATTCCATTTTGGATTGCAACTATACGGAAAAATGTTCGTAATCATATATGAATCTAACTGTTCAGAATCAATTTTATGAGTTAAATCTTGAAAAGTTACATATGTACTTGGTTCCACTAATTTATTTATTTTTTCAATCTTTGGCAAATATAATGCACATTCAATTTCAACAACAGATCGGAAAAAAGAACTGTTGCAGTTAGTATTTAATTCTATTTTTTGTGCATCCTTTTCAGTTAAAAATGAATCAAAAAGATTATTATAGGTATTATTTTGTTGTCGATCCAAATGTTCATCATATTCAGCACCGACACCGACACTTCTATACATTTTCGTAGATAATTTAAAATCATCTTTTGAATTATAATTATCGCTATCATCAAGACTATTACTATTTAGTATATTCAAGCATGATTCTTCTCTATGTATTTCTTCTTCATCTCCTACTTGATTTATTTCTGTTTGAGCTGATTGATTTATGTTACTTTTATTAATATGTAATGCATTTGCCAAACGATCAATTAATGTGCGTAAAGCCAAATGCTCAGAAACTGCAGTCTCCTGTTTCGATTTCTGTAGTCTTGTATTTTTTAAACTTGAAATATCTGTTTGACTTTCTTGAGATTTGTAATCGACAGATGCTAAATCTCGATCGAATGCACTATAAATGTAACAAGCCAAATTATTATCACGAATGGATTGTCCTGAATTAAAATTTAACACCTCAACATTATATTATAAGTTCTTTTGGATATCCATTGTATTATTAGTATTATAGAATATAGCAATGATACCTATAATCTATTCGGTGATATGTTACTAGTATTTTTAAACCTCTTGATACTTCTAGTATTGCAAATTTGTTCCACAGTACCAAGTGCAACCAGTGCAAGCAATTCTCCACAAATCTTTCCACTTACTGGATCAGTTATGTTAATCCAACCATCTACGCTTATTACAGGATACTATATAAAAATACAGATATTATTTAATTAATTAAAAATTTGATTAAAATTTGATTAGAAATTAATCTCAATTACCTTCGATAATAGCAAATGAGATAAAATAAATGGATCTCTATATGCAGTATATAACTGATAAACAGATAATTTGGCTATTCCCAGCAGTTTATTTATTCCACTTTGATGATTATATACTTCTATGATTATACAATTATTTCTGATTTTTTCCAATAGTTCCATATCATAAATTAAAGGTACTAGCTAGAAGAAATACTTTTAAGGTAAAATTCACTTCTATATTATTATAAGTAAAATAATATTGTCAAAAAGTTTACCTGAAAAAAATGATAAAATGGATTTTTTGTATTATTGCAAATTTGGCTTGTTCCTTTGTTCTCTCGCCAAAATGCTTTACATATTAGATAGGTATTAGATTCTGGCAAATTTTTACCCTCAGCTACATATATCAAGCCGTAAAGTAAAACCTAAAATATAAATATAAATAACAATACATATAATTATTTTGTTATAAATAATGTTATAGAATATAAAAATGCATTTAGAAGAATTGTAAGAGACACATACATTACATTTTTTAAATAACTAAATATAGATTCATTTATTTAAAAAAATAAATATCG